AAAATGAAAAATACAAAGATGCTGTAACTGTGCCCTGCTAATGTAGATCATATACTCTATTTTTTTACTTTATGTTACTTACGAATCCTGAGATGTGTTTTGCTGAATTGAAGTTCCTTGATGGAGTATATTTTGAAATATCCTAATAGTAAATTTCACTATAAAATTGCATTAATACTAATTCATATGTCTGAATAAAACCAGCATTACACAATTATAGTGAGCTTTGAGGTAAAGGAATGTAGTTACAGAGTGAGGCGGTCCAGTATAGTCATGGTAGGACTGACAGTTTGATGCGTTACAACTTTGGAAATAGGTATAGACCAGAATGTGGGGAAAAATCCAATTAATATGGGACTGCTTAAGTCAAACTGAAGAAAACCAGTATGTTTTGGAGGAAACTGATGAAAAGAAGTTAGCTTAAGAGCCCAAGAAATTCAGTGCTAATAGATGATGTAGTTAATGCGTGTGCTGATAATAACTTTTATGTTACTGCATTCTACATTATTAGAAAAACTGAAGGGAAAGTAAAGGAAAAGGCTGTTGCAGAAATCTTTCTGCGTATTTGTTCATAAAGAAGCTTAGAGGAGTTTCCATACCGGAGTTGTTCTTTACAGTGTTCGTGCTGGAGGATCTCTTTCAAGCTAAAGTGGTACTAGAAAAGTTTTTTGCACAGAGGGACAGAAACAGTAGGATGGCTGAGGCTGCTTGATATTTATCCATCTTCTTTCGTACCTGATTGTGCCTCTTTAAAGCATCTAAGTATGTGTGGAACCTCAGTGTTTAGCTACAGTAGTGCATAAAACCATTTTGACAACAGTAGAAAGGAAGATGGTAAATCTATAGCTTTTAAATTATTTTTTTCTATTGAAGAAAAAAATCTTGTGGATAATGCAGGAGCCCCCAGCCCAGCAGCAGAACAAGTGAGCCCACAGGTGTTACGATGGGGAAGAGCTGACACATGTATGGTGGAAGAAAGTTGTGCTTTGCAAACCTGGTGGAGTTCCTTGAAGTAATTGTGGAGTATGAGGATAACAAAAAGCTTTTGCTAAAGCTCTTCGTTTAAGCTTTTTATCAGAACTAAACTGCTTTGGGCAAGGCTTGTTTTATGGATGGATGAATGAATGAGGTGAGAGCTGGTGATCAGTTTATTCAAAACAGAGAGATCAGTAATGGGGTCCAACAGGTCTGTGCTATTTCACAGTCATAAGTGGTCTAAAATGGTGAGTGACGACTGATTAATGATGATAGGGTAGTAAAAATCAAAGCTATGGCAAATCACAGAAGAAATTAATATGTGTTGGTGCCTGAGTGATTAAAAGTGGTAGTGAAATGCAGCACTGATGGATGTTGAGTGAGTGCACGGGCGAAAAACCCCCTGATCTTTGTGTGCTTGCGTTGCTGAGTCTTGAACTAGCTTTGATTTATAGTACCTAGTTTTGCGAAAGAATCACTTTAGTACACAGTGACTATAAAAGTAACCAGCTATTTCAGTTAATAACTTTAAAATTTAATGAAGAACAGAACAGGTAACGTTGTGCTGCATTGTGTACTGACGATGTGCTCGCAACTTCAGTACTACTTGCAGTTTCCCCGCTGATTTAAAAAATATATCGTAGAAATAAAAAAGCACTGGAAGGGGGTGGTGGTGGGAATTGGAATAGCTTTCGTACAAGGCTAATTGGAAGAGAGATGACCAAGGGAGAAGTGATGGAAGTGTGTAAAGCTGTGTCTTGGGGCAGGTGGGTGAAGAGTTGTTGTTCCTTTTGTGACTGAAGAATGGCAGGCTCAGCATGAGGTACACTCTCACACAGCCTGTAGGCAGTGGAATATGATGCTGTAATGCGAGAGGCTAAGACAGACACAGAAAATGTTTAGACAAAATCACTGAATAAAACTCTGGCTCTAGCTATTAACGATGACAGTGCCATTTCTGGCTCACCGGTACACCGGAGCAGTACTACCGTATGCTGGGCTTGTTCATAGCCTTTTTCTTAGACGCCCTTATGGTCATCTCCTGAGTCAGTGTGTGTGTCCAGACTGGCCTTTGATTTTACTCTGTGTATCTATTCTTTTGAAATTTCTGAGTGTCGTGTAGTAATTAATGAAATGAAACCAACAAAACATGTGGAAACGTTGGTTTTGTATGAAAGAACTTCTCTGCACATTGTAATAGTTTCCTAGTATGTCTCTTTTCAGTTTCAGGATAAAATGGGGTATTTTAAATAGAATGTGAAACTATTGATAATTTCATTAAACAAATGTGATACAGAAAAGACTATGAGACCATGAAACTGAGTAAAGGCCATTAGAAAGGAAGTTTTTTCTCCTGTTCTTCTTTAATCACCTCTGAAATACTGTTAGTGTGTAAGGTGTGACTGGAAGTCATATGTTTGCTTTTATAAACCAATTTACTTTAGTAATCTAATGTAGTAATATCTCTGTAGACCTCAAAGCTATTAACAGGAAAATTACTCTGTAATGACAGAGTAAGGTAGAACTTAGTGTTAGCTGAAAATATCTGTAAGCTACAATACGTGTTTCTAAGTAGTATGGGATGTGCTGTATTTAAAGAAGATGCGTACTAAACGTACACTGAACCCATCCAAGTGGGCAAAAAATCCATCATAAAAATGAGGCCTTATTTTAATAAAGTGTATTAATCTATTGGATGTGTGGTTGCCTGTTATAATGAGATCTTAGTATCCTTTTTCTTTAAGAGGAGGAGGGCATGGCCACTGTACATCTTGAAGGAAAGATGTTCCTTCCTTTCTGTATTAGGAAAACAGATGCATATTGGAAGGTTGAGCAAGATGGTAACAAGAAAGCTGAGGGATGAGTTATCTCTGCAGCCAGCAACAATAGTGGCCTTTACCCTTTTTCTCTGAACCGTTCTTGCTAAAACTCCGCGGTATGTTCCTGTCTCGGTGACCCACACCACCTTGTTCTTTGCCTGCTGCTGCTCACCGCACGGGGCTCGGCGCACCGAGCTACCAGTGCCCTGTGCACTGCTGGGAGAGCAGTTATCCTGGTTTCTCTGTTGAATTTACAGAATTTAAATTCTTTAGTGGATTTCCTGGATATTTACTACGTATCTTTGGAAAAGGCATCTTGAAGTAGGTTACAAAGTATTTCTCGCTAGGTTGCCCTTACCCTGCATAGCTTTATTTCTACATCTTTCTTGAGTCCAGATTGTGATTGGCCTCTTACTCTCTTATTTATATTACTGACCCATTAGAAGTTTTTTCATTGCCATTTGCTTTTCTTTTTCGTGATCAGTGTAAGTCCAAAAAGGTGATTCTTTAATACACTCAAGATGCAAAACCTGGCTTTATTTATACTCTGTGAAAATATTGTGGTGCTTTTCTTGATTCTTATAATTTTCATTGTAACATTTCTTAGTTCAAACTAAGCCACTGTATGGAGAGGTAACTTAAAGCAGGAATAAAAAAATATGAAACAAGTTTAGTAACATCCAGCCTTTAAAGTAATTCTGATTATTCTGATAATATCTGATTTAGGTCGTTTTAATTCCTTATCCCTGTCTTCAGATTTTATCATGATTTTACTGCTTATTCTCACTATCTGAAATAAATAATTTCTGTGTCTCATACTTCAAAAGTGAGGGCTGCAAGCCTATAAAGGGTTTTGATTTTGATAGCATTTTTTTTTCCCAGCTTAGAGGCCGCTATAGACTGAAGGGAAAAAGTAGGTTTGAATTTGAAGTGAGGGATCAAAGACTAATTTTTTTAACCTATACCAAGTGTGTTCTCTAATTTATGTTCCTGGAAAATAAACTTTCAAAAAGCTTGTACACTAGCTTTTTTTTTTTTCAGGCATAGTTACTTGATGGAGATTGCGGTCAAAGACTGATGGGTCAGCTTTCAATCTTGTGTTGCCTGATTTTGTAAAAGCTGCAAACAGTCTAATTAGGTCTAATCAGATCTGAACTGATCAGATCAAAGATATGTCTGGTCTAACATCTCACTCCCAACAGATCACTAACAGCTGACATAGACGTGTAGGTACAAATTGGACCAGTAAGTATCAGTGCTTCCCTGGCATGCTTTGTTAACATCCATCAATTGGTATTTTACAACCTTCCTTTCTATTTTTGCAGTTGTCACTTAAACATTACTAGTTGAGAAAGAAATCTTCCTAATGCTGTTTTGATTCTTTGTGATGTAATTCCCTAGAATTTTTCATTAGATGCTATATCTGTGGTTTTCAACCAAAATACCTGGTTTAGGGGTGTTTTTTGTGAGAAAACGCGATCTACTGAAGAATAATGTGTACCTGTTGGAAAATTTAGACTTAAAGTTTAAGTTGGGAAGTTTATGGCACTTAGCAAGACCATAAAACTACCACTTTCTTTGGTGTTGCTGTATTTTTCTGTTGGTTTTTAGTGGGTTTTGTTTTGGCTTGGTTCATAGGTGTGTGTTCTGTGGTAGTAATGCCAGATGGGCTTGTGGCTGTTCATTCCTGGATTTAAGTTAGATTGGCTTTATAGCCAATATTTTGTTTATGAAAATTCCCTCAGAATTGAATGAATAAAATGTGGGGGTTGAGCCTTGGAGTTAAGTTACCATCATTGTCCCATTTGCCGGTTGCCACTTAGTGTTCAAGTGCCTACTGCGTGATACTGACTCTTTAACATTGTTGAACTTGATTAGAAGTGCTGTTTGTTCTTTTCATGTTTGGATTTTTTCATGTAAATGTGGAGCTAATTACGGTAATTCATAATTCATAGAACTATATTTGTTTTGGAATGGGTAGAAGTTAAGTTTTGAAGAGTCCAATGGAAGTGGAGCAGTAACAGCTGTTTCATGTAACTGCTGACTGAGTCATTACATAAATGTGAATTATTTTGTTTGTATGGAAAATTGATAGGGATAACTGTTTTTATCTTGTCTCTTCAATTAGCAGCACATGTAATTATTTTTTCCAAACACTTAATTTTGCTTGGGGTTTTTGTTTTGTTTTGTTTTGTTTTTTTCCAGGATGGATTAGATGCTTTGGTATATGACTTGGATTTTCCTGCCTTAAGAAAAAACAAAAACATTGATAACTTCTTAAACAGGTGTAAGTATTTAATGTTTCGGTTACTAAATAACTAAAGACTATAAATACCAGCAGAAATAAAGATTAAAAGCAGTTCTAGCTTTTTGAAAAGCAACTAGGGATTTGGGGTGCATTAAGTTTTTGGGCGCAAGTTGTTTTAAGAGTCTGATTATTTATTAATTTCCCAGTGAGAACTGACAGCTACCTGTACAAATCTAATCCCCAGCAGCTGAACGTCCAAGTTTGTTGCCACTGTAAATGGGATGGTTTCAGTGGCACAAAGCCTTTTAAGAGAAAGGCCTGTTATCTTTGTTCTCGGCACTCCTCTGGAGTCCCATAAGTCGCTTTGTGGTTTCATTACTAATATGGCATAAGCCATTACCAGTAAAGTGACATAACATACATACAGTGTCAGGAAATCATGTTAAAAATTTGTTCAGTCAGACTGGAGCATGTGTTTTGTAGCTTGCTTTTTAGTATAAAAGGTCTCTTTTCATTATCCCATGAAATTCTTAAACTGCGTAGCTGCTGTGTTTACTTGTGCATGCAGCTGATGTGTCTGCAGAATTCTTCTCTGTATTTACTCTATTTATTTCCACTACCAGATTTCCTGCACATTCTACTCTGTAATAACATTTTAAATGAATAAAATTGGTTTTTTAATAGATGTCATAGTTCCATCATTTTCATAATTTAAAAAAAACCCCAAACAACCCAAACCAAAAACACGAGTTTGAGTTAAGCCTTTTTTCTAAAAAGGCTGCCAAAGTGTCAAATTCTGGAAATCATGGCAGAGATGTTTGCTGATTTGAGACTTGCTTCTGCCTGTGGACTGAATGGGCAAGCCTTGAAATTAAACTAATGTTACTAGATTTTTACAGGGTTAAGCATCTCAATTAAATGTGATAAATGGCTTTTGTGGCAAGTATAGAGCAATTTGACTAAAATAATTTTTGTCTTTGCTTCATTGAAATACATGTTTTTGTTTTGTTTCCAAGGTGTTTTCAAATAGTTTACTTGGTGCAACTGTAAGCCGTGATAGTGAATTTGTGGGGTTTATTTTATATTATTCCCCATTTTTGGGAATATGTGAGTCAACTAGATCTAGTTGATGGCTCACTTGCACGTAAGCTGGTTGCTGAAGGCCTAAGTTCATATGTTCTGTTTAACTTTTCACAGTTCAAACTGTATTTGATATCGTACGCTGTGTTACATGCACCTTTTATATACTCGGTTATTTACAGTGAAGGTGTGGTGGAACTCTTGGAGAAAAGAGAAGTTGTATTAGGCAAAGGAAATAGTCATTGCAACAGATAATTTGAATATAATTTCTATGAATATTGAAATCATATGTGAGTGTCAAAGAGCTTCACTTTTGCAGTTAGGGCTGAGTGAAGGAGAAAAGCTAGATTTACAGCCTGGTAATGAATGTCTTATAGGTATAAATTATATACTGTGTAAGATGTGACCTGAAGTAATATGAAGGTGGAGAACAGTGCTATTATTTCACTTCAGACTGCCTTTAGAACACTAATCTTGCTATGTTTGCTGAACTACGAAAGCAAGCTGTGGATGTGCAAGTAGCAGCCTTAGAGGAAACAGTGAAGTCTAGTTTGTCTCAAATTTCTATTTAAAAAATAGACATATACAAACATTTTCATGTTGTTTTAGTTCTAATAGAAAACTGTTTAAAATAGCTTTCTTGCAGTATTAGCTGTCTAAACAGTTTGCACCATTATTCTAGAACTTTAAAAGAAATTTCCAGATTGCAAATAAAATGGGAGTTTGCTTCCTTCATTTTGTAGACAGATTGCCCTATCTGCCAGTCCTTATCCCCTCTTACTTTTCTCCGGTTGACATTGCGCATTTGTGGATCTTCCAGAATCTGCTTCTACTAATAGCCTAATGTTGTGAGGGTTATTTTTGCGAATGCAGAACCTTATTAAAGTTCTACCACATAGAATTAAAAGAATAAAAAAATCAATACTCAAGATGGTTGAGAGCCCTGCTTTGCAGCAGGGACTCAGTTTATTTCAAGACAGCATCTAAGCTTGTAATCACACTTCAGGGCAAGTTGGAGGATGCGGTCGCTTGCCATGGACACTACCCCACCTGCTCATGCAGCGTAAGCTGGCTGGATCCTCCACTGTTGGTGGGAGTTAAGGAACTACCTATTTAAATATGTTGCAGCCTAATAAACCTTGTTTAACAGATCTTAGCATCTGGAGGTCAAACTTCCAGTGCTGTTGTTACTGTAACGTATTGTCTGAAGATACTCAAGCATTAGTACCTCTCAAAGCAGTCAAGTGCAGTTTGCCACTGCTCACAAGCCTGCTTTACATGATTTAAAAATCCTTAGCTTAGATTGCTAGTCAGATGGGGTTTCCTTCGTTCTGGTTTGGCCGTAGGTAAGGCTTGTGATAGAAAAGCATTGAAAGCATTCATATTGTGCCTAGCTTTCTTTTGCACCAATGTCAAGGTTTTTCATTCAGAAGTGGTGGACCTCCTGTTGTGACATTAGTAGGCAGTAAGTTAACAATAACTAGAACATAGTTGTCATGAGAATTGCTGCAGTTTCGTTCCGTGCAGTCTTACTCATTCTCCACCATAGGTCAGTTATCACCAGGGCAAATAAGGCAATGCATTATTTTTTTTAAGTTACTGAATATTTTAATCCTTGTGTGAAATGATTTGTCAGACTTTACAATTTTAGCATTTATTGAAATCAGCTGGTGGTATGCTGCATTGTAAAGGGATGGCTTTACGTTAGACAGTAATGCCACCGAGTATTTAGTCAAAGAAAGACATTTGTTCCTGTTGCGGTAATAAAATCGTACTGAATTTTAATTGTACATATGCTGCTTTTGTTTTAGGTCGTGGCCAGTGTAGGTAGAATTCTAGTGGTAATTTTCTGTCATCTGCCGCATCATTTTTATAAAAGAGGAATTTAAAAGAAGGACGTTACTCCTCTTTTCTCTTCCCCTGTCCTTACTTCTTTCTAAACTTTACTTTTAGGCCTAGAATCTGGTTTTGAACATAAAATATCATTGCATAATTTATTTTATTAGAAGCCTGTCTGTCTTAGTAGATGTTCCTTGCTTTTAGAAATACTGAAGCATGAAGCTTTTCCATGTAATCTCATGCCAGTGTTGACCCACATGGATTAAAATAGACTGTTTTAATCTTTGACCAAATTTGGAATTAGAATATCTGCCCACTGGGAGTTTGTAAATTATTGTAGTTTATAGAATGACAGGTTTATGTAAATAATTGCAATGATTCCCACTGCATGTTTTAAATTAAAATCTACTTTTTTGAGTATTAGGAATAACAAAAAGTGCAGTAAAATGAAAGCTTATTTTATTAAAAGTACTTCAAGTATCTCGTTAGTGTTCTATGGTATTTTCTCAGATGTGTTGTGTGTTTATCCAGAAATAATATTTTATATTGATCAGCTTACAAGCAAGATCGCACTGGATAGGAAGTTTTTGCATAGCTTTTTTTGCAGGTAATTGTTTTTAAAGAAATGCCCAAATTAAGTTCTCCAGTAATTTGGTTGTACAGTAGAGTCATTGCATTGTGTTTCTGCCAGGTCTTGGTTATTATGGTAATGAGGACGAGGTCATGCATTCTGCAGAGAGGTTTCTAATAGCAAGGGAGGTTCAAAAGTTAATCCCCTCGTGGAGCAGCACATCTTGTAATAATGTTGAAAAATCAAAATGAGATTAATGGATTTTTAATTTAATTATATATGAAATGTGAATTTTGTTTTATGTAGATAAAGACACGGTAAATAAAATGAGAGATCTGCGCATGAAAGCTGAAGATTATGAAGTGGTGAAGGTGATCGGTAGAGGGGCATTTGGGGAGGTTCAGTTGGTAAGTTATGGCTCTGTGTACACTTGAATGTGTTCTGTAGCATTTGCTCATGCGCCCGTTTCTGAATACGGTGTGCAGAAGGTGCAGTCTTATATCAAAGCCTTCAGCTCAGTGAAATTTTGTTTCTTTTTATCCCATGGAAATGTTTTGGAGGCTGTCATATTTCACTGCTCTCAAGTGTACAAGCACTTGTTCAGCACTGTAGTCATGCTTCTCTATTAAGTGGAATGTGTATTCCTCGTAATCAAGAAAATAAGCCTTTGCCACTGTATACATGGACACTCGAAGAAATTTTCAGGACTAGATAAATTTCTGACAGTTCAGGGACTACACCGAATTTTTGTAAACGTAGTTGTCACAGATGAGAAACTTTGCATGTTGTTTGTGGTAGATTAGCAACCAGGCTTGTTCATCCTGCTTTATTAAATCAAGAACTGATGGGAGAAACTGGAAATATGGCAGCAAGTATTCCTGTCTGCTAATGAACTCTGGAAAATGCTGATAGTTTTAGCTTTATGGTATTTAACAGGTGCCAATATTTGTCATTTTAAAGACACATACCTACAAATTACAAAGCGACCGTTATGCCTATGGGCTTCTATGTTGAATAGTTCTAGCAAGTATTTTAAGAGCCATGCATATATTGTCAAATACTGGAGTGCAGTTATTCTGTACACCTACAGTATATAATTCTTTATAAAAATGTGAAGAGTTGTAAAACTTGTTAAATAGTAAAGCAGGGAAAATAATATATTCAGTGGTGTTCTTCATATGTTAATGTGTCAAACTAACGTGTTCTGTGTGTCACATTTGTCTTCGTAGGTAAGGCATAAATCCTCAAGGAGAGTGTATGCTATGAAGCTTCTGAGCAAATTTGAGATGATAAAAAGATCGGATTCTGCGTTCTTCTGGGAAGAAAGGGATATTATGGCTTTTGCGAATAGTCCCTGGGTTGTTCAGGTATAGTGATGTTCTTTTTAAAATACTGTCATTACAGAATAGTTTCATTACAAAATAGTTTCATTACAACACTGCATGACTCAGAATTACGTGTTTCTGTTTTTAGCTTTTCCAGGTCCCTTTTTGGTTGTATTGGTCTGTTAGGGCAATACATTATTGAGATTAGGAATGCTGTACTCAACAAATAGCAGATTTGCTTTAAAATCTTGCTTCAAAACTATTTTGTCATAATGCTTACAAGATAAGCTATTCTGTTTATTTTTAAAACTCTTTACCAGATAATATATTGGTGAGCTTGCTCTGTGGTAATTCTTTGAGGCTTTCAGCATACCGGAAATATACACTTAAGACACAGGTTCTGTATATTCTAATTTCTGTGTGTGTATTTGACTGCAAATTATGCCCACTTCAGTTATTTTTTCCTTATTTCAGTATTATCACTGACGATTTTTTGTGAGGCATTGCTGCATTTCAAATTCTAAGGAGCATACCTGAAGCAATCATCGTGTATTGTGTGTGCACATATTAACTTGTTCATTTAAACTGTTCTTACCCTAAATTCTTTCGTAAGATTAGGATTAAACAAAGTCGTTCAAGATTTCCCTAGGTCAAATAGGTAACTACATTACTGTCTGTCTGGGAGTGATTGTCCATATTAGTACTTCTATGACTTTCAAAAAGTTTTAAGTTAAGAAACTCAAATCTACTTGCACTACTCACGTTGAGCAGAGCATTGAGAACTGTAAAGGAAGTATTTTTACTTAATTGTTTAAAACTTAGGCTCACTTTCTGTACAGTAAATACATGGACAATAGAATAATAAATATTTAGTGGTAACACAAATAGAATCGGGCAGATGTTTGCGATACAACAGTTTCACATCTACATATTTGTCAGCTAACATGCCAGTGAATAAGGAAGCATTTTGTCCTCTTATGCAATAAGCGTTCTTAGAAATGATCTCAAAATTTGTTGCACCAATTTCACTAATCTTAGTTTGTAACCAGGACTCTACTCCTTCCATTGTGATATAAAGAGGGGAGTTCTGGCTAAAATTTATTCTAGAGATTAATTTCTTTTTAGGAGGTCTGCTGGATGGTGCAAAGTTACTGCAGTAGTTGTAGCAATTCTGTAACTGTAAATCAGTTTGCACAGAAATTCGTTTGATTTCCAATAAGCTGAAGATGAAGGGTAACTGGAACATTCAGTGACTTATGTTTTGTTTATTTGCTTTTTACAGTTATTTTACGCATTCCAAGATGATCGTTACCTTTACATGGTGATGGAATACATGCCTGGTGGGGACCTTGTGAATTTAATGAGCAACTATGATGTTCCAGAGAAATGGGCAAGATTTTATACTGCTGAAGTTGTACTTGCATTAGATGCAATTCACTCAATGGGTTTTATACACAGGTGAAAAAAAAGTGTTGTTACGTAGTGTTGTTTAATTCCTGGTGCTGCCAGAATGACTTCACTAATTGTTTAGGCAGTTTTACAGTTCATGATGTAACTTCATTATTATTTCATAATTATTTCATCTTATAACTTCAAAGGTTCTTGCCATCAGAAACTACAAATCTGAGGTGATACAGTCAAAGTAAAGGTTTTCAGCAGCCTGATGTTCCTCAGTTTGAGGAGTAATAAAATTGTCCCACATGACCAAGAGACCTAAGAGCTAAAGTGGTATGAACATGTTGGCCCCAAAATGGTTCTTTTCTTTTGATTAGAATCTGATAGCAGTAGTATCCACAGTAAGAATAGTTAATTCTCTCCTCTGCATTTGAAGCCTCAGTGACCCATTAAACAAGAATCTGTTGAACAGTGTGAGGAAAATCTCCCAGCCACATGTTTTCTTGTAAGGGACAAGATGGAAAATGGAGGTGCAGAGCAAAGGGACTTGGCTTAGTTTCATATTATGTACTTGCCCCAATAATTTTTTCAACAGAAAATATGGAAAGAGTTTGAGGAAAACATGCTGTGCAAATTCTTAATTTGTAATTTGGCCAGAAGATCAGTTAACGTGTAAGCTTTTGCAAAAAAAAAAAGAAAAAGCAAAGCAAAACAAAGTGCTTATCCATTGCTTGGGTAGGCTCTAGAGCATCATTAACTACACAGCTATGCTACATCTAGCGGACAAATGATCTGGCTGAACGCACCATTTGTGTGTGCGTATTGCAAGCTTTAGAAAGCTGGCATTGGAAGTTGCCAGCAGCACGGTGAGGTTTCTTTCCTGAAAACTGAGATTATTTTGACACCAGTGGATTTTTTTGGAATTTGTTTTCCCTGGAGTTAGTCTGTTCAAATCTGAGGAATGAAAGGAGACTGATGAAAACGTGGGCCCACTGCTTAATGGATCAGGGGCCTAGTGAGAAAGGACATGGAAATGGCTGAGGCTCCTGCCTTTACCTCAGCCTTCGTTGGTAAGGTCTGCTTTCAGGCCTCTCGGGTGCCTGTGCCTAGTGGCAGAGCTTGGGAGAGTGAAGCGTTACTTGGGAGAGTGAAGTGGCAGAGGAAGATCAGACTGAGTCCCAGTTAGGCAAACTGGACATAGACATGTCCGAGGCACCAGGTGGGGCGTACCGAGGGTTGTGAGGGAGCTGGCCGGTATCCTTATGATACTGTGCTCTGCCACCTTGGAAGGGTTGTGGCAGTTGGGAGATTCCCGATGGCTGGAAAGCAGCAAATGGCACAACCATCTTGCCCTGAGAAGAGCAGGGAGCTGGGGTGGGGATCGGGGGAACTGCAGGCTGGTCGGCCTAAGGGTGGTCTTTGGGAATCTTACGGAGTAAATTCTCAGGAAACCTTTTCCAAGCATGTGAGTGGGAAAAGGTGATTGGGAGCAGCCTGCGTGGATTTACTAAAGGTGAAGCATGCCTTACTAACCCAATTGCCTCCTGAATTGGCTCCACTGATGGGGGAAGCACTGTGTGTGTTGTTTGTCTTGACTTTAGCAAGGTTTTTGATATAGCCAGATTGGAAAGATGTGATTTGAATAAGTAGAACAGAGGGTTGTGCTCAGTAGTAGAACATCCATCCAACAGTCAGGTACCAGTGATTCCTCAGAGAGTTGCTACAGGGGTCAGCACTATGTTTTCATTCACAACATGAACAGAAAGCATCAGTCATCAGCTGCCCAGCAGGACTTTATAAAAAAAGGTAGAGCCAGATGTGGAATTGCACACCGAAAAGATGAAGGGCAATGGATGACACAAGTTGCAGTAAGGGGATAAATTAGCTATTCATTAGGAAATGTTTTTTCCACCATGAGGGTGGTCAAACAGGGGAAGAGAGTCCCAGAGAGGTTGTGCAATCTTCATCCTTGAAAAAAAAAATCAAAACTTGTCTGGATTTGACCCTGAGAAACCTAATACAACTTTGAAGTTGAATCTAACTTTGTTAGCTGTACTTTGATCAGGCAGTTGAACCAGGGGCCTTACAAAAATCCCGCACAAACGAAATTATTCTGTGAGTCTGCTGATACACTTCATTTCACAGTTATGGCCACAGCTCTTCTTTGAGGTCCCAGAAATATAATTTCTCCTGAAATTCATGCTATGCTTTCTTGATAATTTTTTTGTACTATTATTCTGCTTCAGTATATTTAATAACATTAGATGTGCTGAACTTTACCAGTTACTTAATAAAGACTTCTTTTCTATAACGGAAGTACTCTGTGGAAAAGGGCATAAGGCAGTACTCCTCTTGTGCCATGGAAAAACACTTGTTCACAGTAATCTAATTCTGAAAATGGCATCCATTTATTCCCTTAAAATAGAAGTGGTACAGAGCAGAGATATGTTTTCAAGGTCTGTTTGAGATAGCTAACTCAGAACCAGAACGGATTTTTTTTTCTGTAGCTGGATTCTAGTAGAGAGGTGCTTCCACCAGTGAGTGTCTTTTAGGAACTTGAGGTTTAACCTTACTGTCCAGATTTGTTAGATTTAGTGACTTAAGACTGTTTTCCCACATTGATTATAATTTTTCTAAATGTTGTAGTTCAGCAGTGTTTGTGTTGGACATGATACTTAGAGAAAGCAGAAAAAAATGGAGGAAATAGTGGTGCTTCCGTGTTGGTATTGATCCTTGCAGTGTTGTGTCTGAAAAATAGTTGACTGTTACTGTTTTCATAAGGTAAATCGATTTATTTACTTTTAAACAAATACGTTTTTCTGCTTTCAGAGATGTGAAGCCTGATAATATGCTGCTAGATAAAGCTGGTCATTTAAAGCTAGCAGATTTTGGTACTTGTATGAAGATGAACAAGGTAAACATGTTTTTAATTTCACTTTCTGTTTGTGAAAGGAAAACATGCTGAAAAGTGAAAACAAAATATACTGAAAACTCTTTAGCTAGATGAGAAGAGTCGAAAGTTCCACTCCGTTCCCATTACTGATCTGTAGGCATCCCATTCAATGTAGAATGCAGAAATGGTTTGTGAAGTAGGGACTGTATCAAGTTCTCTGTTTCCTAGAGAAACTTTCTGAAGTGAAGCCTTTGATTGTCTCTAGATCCTCTGGATGATTTAAGTCCATGGTTATCAAAAGTTAAGGTGAAGAGGTGGCGTCATTTTTACTTGGTGTGTCAGTAATGAAAGAATCAAAACCGAAGCACAAGTCGCTGAATCGCAATTGTACTTATTAGCCATACGCTGACGTAACGAAAGGGCAAATCTGAAGGAAGCGGGTTAAAGAATGTCATAGAATTATTTCTTTCTTAAAATATATCCTGAGGTCACTACAAAAATATTTTATAACAGTATTTCACATACAGTGAAGCACTGTTGTTCCCTATACAAAACTCTCATTGGTTTGTGTCAGCCTGTACATATATATGAGGAAAACAATCTGAACTATGTTGTACTTAACAGAGTCTGTGTAATATGTACACTGTGTTCTCAACATATTCCAGGAGCTTTGAATAAATTGCTGTATTTAGCTGCTTTTGCATAAATAAAAGGCACCAGTGAAAACCAAGCGCATGTTATGTGTGCAAGCTCTCAAGGAGTTGCCTCAAGTCACAAACAGTCCGCGTCGGTGGAGTAGCTGACAGATTTGGCTTTATTTTGACTTACTACAGGTTTATCCTTGACTGATTGTGCTCGTAACAATGAGTAATTTTGAAATACAGAAAAACATCGTAGTGTTTAATCTGTAAGTGCCAAAAAAGAGAAGAAAGATTTATGAAACTTTGCCGTATATTAGCATTGCAGAAGTGAACTTGTGTCGACAACATGTTCCATTTTGTGCTGTTTTAAACAACGCTAGCTGAGTAGCCTTGAGCCTAGTCTTTTGAAAGAGAAAGGTTAATCTGTGGGAGAGACTGCTCAGCATAGGAGCTTAATTTATGTGCATTCTGGATTTACTGCATATGCAATGCGAAATTTATATTTGTTATAATTATTTATGTATCTTTATGCAAGTTTTTCCACTGATCCATTTCTAGGAATGGCATAGGATTATTTCAAAAGTGCCTGAATGGCAGTAGAAGAGGGCGTGTGGTCGCAGCTTCAGCATTCTACATGCCAGCTTCAGTGTGACTGATCTCTCTTCTGCCAGCCCTTTCTCAGGGGTGTGAGGAGCGTCAAGCCTTCTCCCCTGTTACCTTTTCTGAAGTCTGTCCACTTAAATTTCAAGGCCCTGTCTACATTTAGTCTTCCTGGCATTAAGTATATTGGGTTGTAGGTGAAAAGCTTGCACTTCAGCTGACTCTGTCAGAAAATCCCTGATGTTGACCCGTTTATGCTCACAGAGGAGCTTTCCCTGTTTGCGGTACGTCCTGTCAGTATATGACACACGCTGGCACGAGCAGGAGAGGCTATGCGGTGTTTACAGGGCCTAGATGCAAATTACTTCTTGGATATTAACTGACCTTTTTAAAGTAACTTTCACTGTGTTTGACAAATCTGGTGCTTTCTTCTGGATTTAGTAGCTTAGAATTTAAAAATGTTAAAATACTCATTCAGAAAAGAACATTTGACGAAAGTGGTTGTGGATCTGTTGATGTTGCTTAGGCTGTGTAAACCCTTGGAAATGGCTTGCAATTTTGGATCTTAATTTGGGCCTGGCTGTTTTCCTCCTCTTCGTAGGAAGGTATGGTACGATGTGATACAGCTGTGGGAACACCAGACTATATCTCTCCTGAAGTATTGAAGTCCCAGGGTGGAGATGGATACTATGGGCGAGAATGCGACTGGTGGTCAGTTGGAGTCTTTTTGTATGAGATGCTTGTAGGTGAGTAGTAGGATAATCAGAACTGACTACGCTCCTTAACTAGACTCCATGTTAAAGTCGCTGTTGTTATTAACCATTTAATTTATTACTCTTCTGACATAAGCTGTGGTTTACTGGTCATGGTATTTACAGAATATGTTTTAGAAATATTCTGGCACAGTTGTTGTTCACTTAGTTGCTTCCATTGTTGCATTGTCCATGTAGTTCAGATATTATAAATAAAATCTAAAATATTTTTGATCTGCTTTTTAATTTTTACATTGGTTTTTCAGGTGATACACCTTTTTATGCAGATTCTTTGGTTGGAACATATAGTAAGATTATGAACCATAAGAACTCCCTTACTTTCCCTGATGACAATGAGATTTCTAAAGAGGCAAAAAACCTTATTTGTGCCTTTTTAACTGATAGGTAAGATTTAAACTTTACTCAAAACGAAAGTAAGCCTTCGTTAAGAGAATTTCTTCTCATGTTGGAAGAACGTGTATCTATATATTTGTTCTGTCTGGGTTTCTAAACTACTCAACAGAAGAGAGTATTTGGGAGGGGAGTCACCGATGGTTGCTGCTGCTCTTGATGGTAGTGGCATGTATACTGGGGGAAGGGAAGTGCTGCTGCTATGGGTATGTTTACCTTATAAATTTAATTTGAAAATAAAGTGTTACTTCTTAGTAACAGCTACTGTTGCCTTGGTCTGTGTTGCACAGTGTTGAGGGCATGCAAAATGGATTCATTTTGGCTGAAGCTAGAGCAAAAGGTGCATGTCAGGAGTGTTCCTAGTTCTTGGTGGGCATTCAGGATCAGGGTGGAGTCAGCCCAAAGGAAGCCTGTCTGAAATGTGGGTGTTAGGTCTGTCTCGCTTTGTGAGTACGCTCCCCTTGTACCCACACTACTTACGTAAGTGTAAGCACAACCTTTGCTTAAGAATTGGTGCTACGAAGGGGGGGGCTCTTGTGTTTGCTGGGCTGGATGGGATTCAAACAACAGCATGAACTCCTAGGAAAAATGGAACCTAGCTGCTGCTTGGTGGCTGCCTAGCCAGTCGGTGATAGTGGAAATGGTAGCAGGAGGAAAAAAAATGTGGACCAGACTTAAAACCAGATTGTGTTCGGAAATGTAGCTGCTGTGCTCCTCTAGATATCCTCATATGTAAACTTTGAGATATGTCTATTTCTTAACTTAGTTTGAGAGGTAGTTTTTTGTCTTTGTTGTTAGATAATGCCTTAGAATGAGTCTTTCCTTTAGAATAGTTTATGTAACCTTCCATGCTTAACCAAAACACTGTTTAACAGGGAAGTGAGGCTAGGACGAAATGGCGTAGAAGAAATTAAACGGCACCTTTTCTTCAAAAATGATCAATGGGCTTGGGAAACTCTCAGAGACAGTAAGTATAATGCTATTCTCAGAGACAGTGATCTGGCTTCCTTATGTATTATGTTAGCAAAAGGACCGTTTCTTTTTAATGAAATTTGAAGTGATTTCTTAGGCACCAAAGAGAAATTTCCCCTAAAAATTCTTGATCGTGTCGCTTAAGTGATGCAATGGTCATTATCATACTATTCTGCTTTTTTTCCTAGCTGTAGCACCAGTTGTGCCTGACTTAAGTAGTGACATTGACACTAGTAATTTCGATGATCTGGAAGAAGACAAAGGAGAGGAAGAAACGTTTCCCATACCAAAAGCATTTGTGGGCAACCAACTTCCTTTTGTAGGATTTACGTACTACAGCAACCGGCGGTATGTATGCAGAATGGGAGCTGATGTTGTATTCCTTTGTCCACGCTGTTTCCGACTCTTACCAGCCAGCATTTAGATACAAGCCTTTTCAGATTCTTATTAAGGATTCATAATCCTAATAAATTACACTCTTTTGACACTTTAGTAATGATAACCAGTACTGCTAGTTGTCAGTACCCTAAAAGATCACACTGGATTTGTGAATGTCTTCTGCATTAAGATTATGTAGTGGTGCTGCAGAAGCTAAGCAAGAAAAATCTGCTGTTGCCACTATTGGGCCGAGCTGCCTGCAGAGCGCTGAATTGTATATGTAGTGTCATCAATCAGAGAGATGAATGTCACTCTTTTTTTTTTTTTACTGTGAATTACTGTTCCTGAGCTGTATATGCAGGTTCCCTAGCTTACATCAGTGGTTTAGCATGTGATAAATTAAACAGTGGTAAATAACAAGCAAGTAGGAAACATTTTATTTCTAGTAAATCTGCTGTGTAATTTTTTTTCTGAAGTACTCATCCACTGCAGAGTGAGATTGTGATGCCTTACAGTTTTTACTGTTGCTTAGAAGACTTTAAATTACCTCAGTTAAAATTATATTAATTCGTACTTTCAATGGTTGTTGTTATTGTAGGCACTATGGATAGCTCTATCTACATTCAAAAATCTCAGTAAGTTTTTCTTACTTTGAAAGCTGTTGTTAGTTGTAGTGGTGTCAGTCAGGCTTAACAGGGGATAAAACTTCTGGTAGACTGTGTCAGATAGGGACTGTTAGTTTTAGTAGCATTTCTGGATAGGAAAGCTGTGAAGGAAATAAACCTGTTTTTTGTCCTTGGATAGAAGAGGAACCACTTTTCCAAGCCTACGGTGAAATTCTTTCCATCTCTGCAAAGAGCTGGATTTGTTGTTGCTTTCTGCATAGTTAAGGCACAGAAAGACTTGTGACCTTTGCAGGCGGTTTGTGTGAGTTCAGCAGTTCAGGAATTTCACCTACTTTCTGGTTTTAGTCTATAATTTTAATAGTTAATTTTTGCCTTGCAGGTAGATTTTGGAATATATTATCAAGAAGGTCAAGTAGCGTACAGAAGCTTGTCAATAACCATTTCTTCTCCCCGTCTTCCTTCTTGGGGGGATGTTATTGGGAATTTAGAGAACTAAGTGGCCGTGTTTTGCTGTCATGGAAGAACTCTGCTACTAAGTGCTATCATAGTTTTGTAGGCTTACTAGAACTAAAGTGCTGTCCCAGAATTGAATTTTGTCCCATAATACTGTGCTGGTGTGATAGCCTTGAAAAATCTGAAGTGACCATTCATACTTGCTAAATCTGTAATCTTTCCCTTTTTGTATTGAAAATAGTTCAAACGTTAAAAAAATCGCGTATTTAGAGAAAAGTTGCGCATTTATCTCCACCCTCCTTTGATTTCTTCTTACTTGTGTGCGCTGGAAAACTGGGAGAATGATGTGACTTCCGTCCTTAAAGGAAGCAGTACAGTCTTCTAGCACAGAATACTTTCTACAGCTGCGATCTCATCGATTGTGATCTAGGAAATACGCTTGCTTGTTACTGAACTTCACCTCTTACACAGATTTCGGAATACTGGCTGAGAACACTTTGCAGCCTGGTCTGGCTTGTGTGTTCTTTCCTGGATTCTGATGGAGCTGGTGCTGTGCCTGTTCAAATATCACATTCTCACTGCACAGCAGCCCTGGTGTGTAAAATATGGTGGCTTCTTGGAGTCAGCAAGGCCCTTCCTGTAGAGAACTGTGCCGTTTCCTCTTTGTCATTTGATTGTCTGAAAGTGGTCTTGATGTTTAATTTGGCCTTGGCTTTGGAGATGCCTTTGGTTTTACCCTCCTTGATCTTTTGAGGAGGTTTTTGTATATGTGAAAATATGCATGTGAAACAAAAAATATGTGTCCATCTGCCTCCATTCATGTGTTGGAGAGATTTTTCCTCTCATAACGTGATGCAGTTAGAGACGCTTTACATCTCTCTAGATTAGTTGTCAGGCCAAGAATATCACGTCAAATACCCAATTTGAAGGTAGTAATTTGTGTTTGTTTATCTGAATTTTCAGAATAATGACAAATATAAATTTGTGCTGTTTTTAGGAAATGTTTACGTAAAATAAGAACACTGGCTTCAGGGCAAATTTTGTGTGTGTGGAACTCTTCATAATGTTGTTGGAAGTTACACAGTCTCTGCGGAGTTCGCTTCATTGCTGCTACTTGCGGCCTAAGTGCCTGAGTAAATATTTGTGGGATGGAAGCCAATGAGACTGTTGTAACCATGGAAAGCAAAGATTTCTTTAATGGTTATTTAAAAAAAAGAGAAGTGGTTGTATTAGTATTTGGCAGAAATCCTTTTTTCTGGAGGTGTTCTACTGCAGTTTTCTGATTTATCCTTTACAATAAATTATGTGAGGTTTTCAATTAAATGTGCTTAAATCTTAAAGTATAATAAATACAGAAACAAAAAAAAATCTGATTGTTACTATCTGTTTACCCACATAGTGGAGCAAAAAATCTGGGGATTATGTTTTAGGATGATCGTATTCTGTTTTTTCATAACCTTGCTTTTAAACAACACTTAAAATAACTTTTAAAATGTTGTTACAGGTATTTAGCTGTCTCTGCAGAAAATTCCAATGATAACAGAACAGGCTCCAGTGTGGATAAAAGTGTGGTATGTCTCACTGATTTTCAGCTTTGTTGGATCCTAGCAAAGAATCTCTTGCATATATGGGAATAAACTGTTTGAGTTCTAAATGTCTCAGATTATTTTATTGCTTGGAATATGGGAAATCAGCGATTTTTAAGGTCCCTTCCAACCCCAACCATTCTAAGATTCTATGATAAATTTTAACTGTTTAGTGTGGCCTGCCTATTAAAGTTACTGGAAAAGCAAAATTGCAGTTCTTCTTACAACATTGGTTTTGCTGAATTGGGATAAACTAGCTGAAACTGCATCCTCTTTTGGTGGAACTGGATTCAGTTTTTGTCTTTAGAAATATCAAAGTGTTTGTGCAGTGTTTTTAGAGTGCCTTCTTGATCCCAGGTGTGGCTTTGTGGCAACCATGGAGTCTGGATGTGAGTGTGAGGGGAAGCTGGGGCTTTCCAGCAACCTGCCAGTTTAACTCTGGAGCTGGACTTCCTGTGAACTAAGTGGGAAATGGCAGATAATGTAACAAGCTTGGGTATTCTGCCCTTTCCCAGGGGTGCCCCACAAGCTATTGGGCATTGGGGTACTGAGGATCTGCATTTATAGAGCAGTTCACCTAGCAAGAAATGTTTAGGGATTCTTTCGGTTACTGCTTCCTGAGCTTCTTGGCAGTCAGGTTTTGAGGAAGGTACGTGGAGGTGTTGGAAACAAGGTCTGCTTGGATTCTGTGAAAGTTCTGGTGTAAATCGAGCTATCCCCTTAGAGTAGTTTGGTATAATACAAATTAAACTCCTTCCAGAAGAAAACGTTGCCAAAAAAAATTGATAATTAACTCTAAAAGAAATCTTCTTGGTTTTGATTATGAATCATTTGGTTAGTATTTTGTTCTGTTTTCCATTTAGAGTGGAAGAGAAGCGTTTACCAATGTATGTTCGCTTTTCTCTTAAACTTAAAATATAAAGGTTTTAAAGAATACATGGCTATTACCCAGAGGAAGTTTGTACGGGCAGGGGAACTGATTATGTACTTAATCAGGCTATCTGAATTTGTTAAGCATTGAAGTGTCTTGATTTCTTTATGAATGGATGTGTTCCATAAATTTTGTTTTCTTCATAAGCATTTGGCTGTTGGTGTGGTAAAATTAAAAACAGAGACAGCCTTTCAAATATTTGCAGATACTTAAAGCTGTGTGCTGGCCTTTGGTTGGCTTGGAAGAGAGTTACTGAATGGACTTGGCATCATTAGTGGGACACAGGCACCTGCATGGAGTTCAAGAACCCTCAGGAGTCCTGTCTGTGTTGTCAGGTGTATTTGAATGTCTTGTGATTTTAACAGTTTTGGGAGGTGAAGATCTGGAAGGATATGAGTGATGTAGTGAGGTTTAAATAAATGTTAAGTCTTTACTACAGGGTATTTTTACCCCACAGTTCTTTCTCAGTTGTTCTTTCATTACATGCCGCAATGAAAAAGGTAATGTTGACATACGGTTAGCAAGTTAATTAGTTCTGGAAATATAGCACAAGGTGTTACCTGGTCTGTCTGCATTTTGGCACAGTACTGAGTGTCTTCTGGGAGGGACTGAGTGCCAGATGTTTCCAAGAAATTAATTGCATTTTAATGTGTAAACATCACAGAATTAGGCCATGAAGTTGGACAAAAATGGAATTCGATGTCCTTTGAATTTCCAACCTCTTTGAAGATCTGATTATTTACTTTGGTTGCGTGCTACCATAACCACCTGTAAACAGTTCAGATATGAAGAAAGAGGGGATTAACAGATTGTTTTGCGCTGCGTTGTCGGTTGTCTTCATTGTTCAGGGTGCAGAACCAAATGTATATGCTGGGGTGATTTAAAAAAAAGAAAAAAAGTATGGCAGTTCCAGAGGGATTTTTCTTGGCTTCTCTGCTGTAGCTAGGCTTTTCCATAGTCCTTTCCTCCCCTTCCTCCTGCTCAAAATGGAAACTGAGAACACACTCAAAACTAAAGGAATGCTTTTATACTGAGTTAATTGTAGCTCAGGATTTTCTTAAGGTATTATTTAGTCTATTGATATCAGAGTGAGCAAAACTTCTCTGGACGCCTGGTGTCTTGTGCTAATGTAATTAGACTGCTCAGCAAGCTTAGATACAGGCCCTTTGGGGTACAGCACTCTAAAAGCATCCAAAGACAGAAAGAAGCAGGAGGAGGCAATAGAGGTCCGAACTAGTAGGGGTCAGTACAGAAATGCCTCAGTTGCCAGATGTCTTTTTGGACCTGTTCCTCATCTATCCCATTTAGTTCCTCTATGCAGTCTGTTTGGAAGGGCTATAAAATGAGTAACCGAGAAATGGGGCAGCAGTTCTGTTGAAACTTCTTTATCCTTTATTTTTGTGCATTAGCTATAGTCCCTTTTTACCAAAGTGAGAGCTAGCCTTTAAATAGTCTTGCTTCTTGCTTTATTTCTCAGTGGCTCATACCAAGGAGATAAATGTTGTGTTCTGGTTGTCCTTCCTTTTTCCTCAAAGTTTAGATTTAGAGGCCACCTCTGTGGTTTTTTGACTACCACCGTTGTCTCGTCCACATGGTGTTATGTTGTATGTCACACCAGTAATTGGTTTTCCAGAGCTGTTCTGTAAGTGCCAAGAGGTCTGTTTCTTCTAGTATTTCCTTGCACTCTCAAGGCTTTGTGATAGGGAGTGGTGAATATATAAAATACGTCGTTCCTGGTTAGTTCCTAGTTGCCATGTCCGTGTTCTTTCTCTGAAAACTAAAGAGCAGCTTAAGAACGTGAAAGAAGGAAAAAGGAGGAAATGAGGGAAGATCTCCAGTTCTTGAGTGCACCTGAGTGCTCTGTACTCTATTTCCTACTCCAATGGGAAAGAGAAGAGGTTGAAAGTAGGAAGGAAGAAAAACGCCTGCCTGGAAGTAGGCAAAATAATCTTGCCTGTAACTTTCTCATTTAATATGAATAAAGCATGCTATAATGTTTCTCCAAACTGAAATTTTAGTTTAGGGCTGTATAGCAGGCAGTCCTTGTTGAGAACACTTACCAATGCTATCAAGACAGAATGAAGGCAAGTGTAATTTGCCTCCTCTTTGTGATTTTTGTGAGCAGTTCTAGTTTCTCTAAGTGTATTTTGTGGGAAAAGGAAAAAGGGAAGAGGCAGACATAGGAGGAACTGTTCTGTTGCTCTTTCTGGGATAATTGTGCAGAAGGAGCCAGGCAATTGTCGGAGTTTTTGAAGTTAAGGAACAAGAAAGCAAAAGGTCAGAACCACTTGAATATGTTGCTTTGAAGAGAGTCTGGATTAGGCCTGTAATTCTTCTCTGTGCAGTTCCAAGAGTGTTGAGGGAAATGGGGAAAGCTAAATATGGCGGAAGTCCTGACAAGATCAGCAAAAAGGTTTGAAAGAGTGAATGAGGACGGGCTTGACTTAATGAGCTTCCTCAAAGCTGACTCCATGTTGTTAATTGAAGATTTTGCTGATATTGGAGTAGGATTATTGTGCCTAGAAATCCAGCAGAAGGTAGATATTTTGAGATTACATGAAAAGAACGAATTTCTGAATTTATCCTGCTGGCCAGCAGTACGAGCTATACCGTAATGCTCTGTGTTAACATTTGAAGTTTGTTACTATTTTCAAACCTTAGTACAGTGCTAGCTGTGGAAAATATCTCTGACTAAATAGATGTTAAGAGCATTTTCCCAAAATTGCTAATAACTGACAGGCCTGGTTCTGCTTCCTGAACTTGTTGAGAGCTCAAAGATGTGTTGCAAAGTACATGTGGTGGTTTATGCTAGAAAAAGAATTTTTGAGACTAATTAAAATGCCTTCTTATATCTTTGTAGTAATATCTTTAGTCTGATTCTGAAGATACGTAAACCAAGGAGGATTTGACTTAGCTTAGCCCTGTGAATTTTGATGGAACTATTCAGAACTCTAGAATTTTATGTGTGTGCAAATGATGAAACTGCATAATATTGAAGTTGTTTCTTGTAATTAACTTTTTTAGAAAATTTTTTGGGGGATCACATTTTAATAAGGTAAAAATCTAGTGTTTAGATAAAAGCGAATAAGTTGTGATACAACATAAGCAGCACTGAATATTCTGAAATACTTTTTTGAAGTTTTTAAGTTTAATGCATGTTCTTTCATGTACAAATACATATTTAAAGCTGGAAAATATGCAGAAGATGATCTATGAGTTGGAAGAACAACTACATAATGAAATGCAGTTGAAAGATGAAATGGAGCAAAAGTGCAGGTGAGACTTTGAACTTTAATTGTTTACATAATTTAAATACATCTGACACCTCAGTTCTGTATTACTGCTTTAGGGTTACTAGAATAACACTAAGAATGGTACTGTAGTCCTCCAAGGGAGTTCCAGGCACAGGTTTAAGTCATTCAAAAACAATATTTAAATGGTTTTCTTGAATTTAGTACGAAGAAAGTACTTTGTTTTCATTGGCACTCATGTGAAACATTCTTTCTGAACACCTGAATGTTTGAGTTTACCCCATATACCCCTTATCTCTGAGTTTAAATGTTTTGTTGGTCTGAGGTACACAATGATCATGCTGATTTTTTTTTTAAATGTAAAATACTGTATCTATAGCATATATTGGATTGTTAAAATTAACTGTCTGGTTTCTAAATACATGGTGCTTGTTGGAAAACCACATTCCTTTTTTTTTTTTGGTGACTGACAGGTAGGAACCGCTAATTGCTTTCTGAAGTCTTGTTTCTACCATGTTGAAGAAGTAGCTACGTGAGAATGTGCTTATTTCTTGCAGCTACACTTATGAACAAACAGTTGGCTTCTCCTTTTGAAGCCTTTTTATGAAGGCCTAAACAAATTTAGGAGGCAACACTAGGTGTAGGGTATAGGAAGGATTTAGACTTGTGAACTGGGACAGTCGTAGAAGCTACTTACGTGGGAACTGGTAGCCAAAATGGTCCACTGGGAGTTTAGATTGTGTGACGCTATTACTGACTTCAACACAACTTTGGTGGTCACACGTGCCAGTGGCTTTCCACAAGCAGGATGTGCGTTGCCTGAGGGCCCCTCAGTGTCTGCCTTCCTGCCGTACTGCTGAAGCTCTCAGAGCCAACAGTGTGTCTCCTGGTACCTCATACCATTTACTGCAGGGGCAGTAGATAGGATATGTTGCTGTAACTGCTCCTTATTGTACCTGCCAGGTAACGTTGCCTGGGTCCTTCTTGTTGTCCCTTTGAAGAGGAATAGCTCGCTACAAACAGGGAGTGGATGTGCCACTGTTATTGCCAGTTACCTGAGGTTTTACTGGGCACTTGACCTCCCTCTCTGTAGTACTGTGTTGTAATCCATTGCTTCAAAAGAGAGACTTTCAAATAATATTATTCAGATACCTTTATCCAAAGTAGGGAGCTTTCTACTGCCAAATTAATGAACCATTTTAGATATCTGGGAAGTTCACAACTAGAGGAAGTTTTAGCAGTTCACCAGGGTGTTCTAGTTGTAAAGATAACCTGTTGTGTACAAAAGCCACTGTATGTGCCTTAAGGGAGAAAATGTGGCATCTGAAGTTTTGCATATAGAATCTGCAGCAAAGTTGGTAAATAATTAATAATATATTTTACAAATTATTTCCAATGCTTGTTTTCTTGAATTTCAAATATTTATAGTATTAGCCAAAATAGAAATGTTCACTTTAGCGATGGTCCCAAATTATTTCACTGGAAAAACACTGTGTCCTCAAATATTACTTAAATGATTTTGTTTTATTTTTAGATCTTCAAACATAAAGCTAGACAAGATAATGAAAGAGCTGGATGAAGAGGTAATTTTTTTCCTCACTGAAGCCAACTAAGAATTAGTTGGGTAAAGAATGTGGATAATGCTTTCATGATTTAAGATACTTCGTCTGTGACTAAACAAATTGTTCTGAGTTTAAATTTGAGACCAAACCATCGCATCTCAATACGTAGCATTGGGGATACATTTTTATTTGTATGTATTTTCAAGAACCTTTTCTTTCTGCAAGTCACACAGAATTGTTTCCTCTGCTAAATGTTTTGCATAGTCTTGCTCACCACAATTTCTCTGGACTTTATCAAAATCAGTTACTCTAAAAATTAATATACTGGTCATTTTCTATTGAGTCCTTGTGTTGTCTCTTAATATTAATTTTAATAGTTACTTACATATAATCACATTAAGGTTAACTTTTTTAATAATTTCCCAAATTTGTCATGTAGACGTTAAAAAAAGCCATCTTTTCGAAAAACCTTTTCAAGGAACCCAGAAACTCATTCACTAGAATCAGTGCATCAGTTGCCTTGAGGTCATCCTTAAAATGAAAATAGCAATGCTTTTAATTTTAGGGGAATCAAAGAAAGAACTTGGAGTCAACAGTGTCTCAGATTGAGAAGGAAAAGATGGTTTTGCAACATAAGATAAATGACTACCAAAGAAAAATTGAACAAGAGAATGAAAAAAGACGGAATGTGGAAAATGAAGGTATGCCGTGTTGTCCAAACATTGACACTGTTGAGGTGTAAGATGTGTTTTGGGGAACAGTTTACTACCTTAACATCTTAAGTGCTACACAAATTTAAAGGGATCTTTTCAAATAATGGACACAGATTTTGAGCACAATATATTTGCCTTATTTTCAAATTATGTTCTCTACTGCATGTGTTGTTGCTCTGCAAGCACAGAATTTGACCTAAAAATGTATGTAAGATTTAAGAAGTCAACAAAAGACCTATTATATGCCAAGAATTTATTTGAGCGTCTTTAAAAAAAATCTATATATATAAGGATTTTTTTAATCTGATGTATTAATGGTATAATTTCTCTTTAGTGTCCACACTAAAAGATCAGATGGAAGACTTGAAAAAAATCAGCCAGCATTCGCAAATGACAAATGAGAAGATAACACAATTACAAAAGCAAGTATGTTGCTTCTGTTGATTGTCTTCACTATTGCTTAGATTCGAGAAGCAGTATTGAGCATTCAAATATAACAAAACTGGTCCCAATAATTTTTAATATTTGAGAATCCTGCCTGTTTTGTTTTGACAGCTAGAGGAAGCAAATGATTTGCTGAGGACGGAATCGGATACAGCGGCAAGACTCAGAAAGGGTAACACAGAAATGAGCAAGTCATTAAGTCAGGTCGAATCACTGAACAGAGAACTGCAGGAAAGGTGCAGAGTTCTAGAAAGCACAAAACTGCAGGTGGAGAAGGATTATTACCAACTGCAAGCAGCTTTGGAGGCGGAACGAAGGGACCGAAGTCACGGATCTGAAATGATTGGAGAACTACAGGGTAATTGTTTATATTTCACCAAAGAAGTTGTGATAACTCTTAAATAAAGTGCAGTTACATAACCAGAGGAAAGCCAACCTGCAAACCAAGTGTGACTTAATAAAACGATCTCTGAAGATTAGGTCTTGCTTCCTCATCAAGTTTGAGTGGCTGTTGGGAGGGAGAGTATCAAAATCAAAGAGTGGGAAACACAGCTTGTAAGTCTGTGGGGCTGCCCTGACGAAAAGTCTGAGTCTGGTGGTACACAAATATCAAAAGTGATCCGGTGCTAGAGAGGACATGACACAGTGTCTTACTGCCTTGCTGCCCTAGCCAAGTTGATGTACCCTGCACTTTCTCTTCTTTCATTAGTGGACGAGCTATTTTGTTGCTAAATAGCATTTGTTTTCTTTTATGTTGCTTCTTTCTTACTTTATAAGCAAGATGAAGGGCATGTTAAGGGATGCAGATGTGGAATCCCTTTTTTCAAGATGCTCGGAACTTTGTACCCTTTGTACTTCCGATTCTTCATACAAGAAACTATTCAGATACATTAGTTTAAGACTGTGCCTATGCTAATGGATCCTGCCTCTTAACTTGTCATTTTAAACCATCTGTCTGCAGGATTGAAAATCATTTTCCATGAGGCTAAATCTTTTGCTGAGGACTTCTGGGTGGTTTTGGTTTTGTTTCTTTGGCTAGCACAAAGAAAGAACCATAAAGAATCAACTTGCCTGTTTACTGTGCTTCAAATATAGTGCATCAGTTTCAGCTGAATGATTGTAGAGTTCCCCTGAGATGACTGAATATAGTCAGATCCAGTCTGTTGTTAATCACAAGCAGGAAGTACAGATGGCACAAGACTGTTCTGTGCACTTCAGAATGTGGTTTTGACCACATCCAGCCCAGGACGCGATTGGCTTTCTGGGCTACGAGTGCACATTGCTGGCTCATATTCAGTTTTTCATCTGCCAACACCCCCAGGTCCTTCTCCCCAGGGCTGCTCTCAGTCCACTCACCCCCAGCCTGTGTCTGTGCTTGGGATTGCCCCGACCCAGGTGCACGACCTTGCACTTGGCCTTGTTGCACTTCATGAGGGTCACGCTGGCCCACCTCCCCAGCCTGTCCAGGTCCCTCTGGATGGCCTCCCTTCCCTCCTGTGTGTTCACCACACCACACAGCTTGGTGTCATCAGCAAACTTGCTGAGGGTGCACTTGATGCCACTGTCCATGTCACCAACAAACATGAAACAGCACCAGTGCCAATACCGACCTCTGGGGAACACCATTGTTCACTGGTTTCCTCTCGGGCATCGAGCCGTTGGCTGTGACTCTTTGAGTGCCACCATCCAGCCGGTTCCTGATCCATTGCATGGTCCATCCATCAAATCCACGTCTCTCCAGTTTAGAGACAAGGATGTCGTGCAGGACAGTGTCAGGTGCTTTGCACAAGTCCAGGTAGATGACGTCCGTTGCTCTTCCCTGATTCACCAACACTGTAACCCCATCACAGAAGGCCACCAAATTTGTCAGGTGCGATTTGTCCTTGGTGAAGCCGTGTTGGCTGTCACCGGTCGCCTTATTTCCATGTGCCTTAGAATATTTTTCAGGATGATCCACTCTGTGATCTTGCTGGGCACAGAGGTGAGACTAACGGGCCTGTAGTTCCCTGGGTCTTCCTATTTTCCCCCTTTTTGAAAAGTCAGTTAGGTGAATACATACTGTGTTAGTACCTGTAGATCCAGCTGAGACTGACTTTCTGTGTAATGTGCTTTATCTACATACTAGTGGAGTTAACATCAGAAAAGGTGCTTGTTGCATAGCACAGCAGAGCTCAGATTAATGGAAAAAAATTTTGCATATTAGATATTGGAAATGATGGAAAGCAGGTATGAAGTTTTGCATGTGATTTTTTTTCGTGAATTATTACTAATGACATACATAAAGAGTGGCTAAAAAGATCAGTTTCTGTTACAACGTGTACAGCCTTTGCATGTCTGAAAATTTGAAGGTGTAAATATTTTAGGGGCCCAGAAATCAATAAAGGTTGAAAAGCCTGTAAGCTGAGTAACTAATATTGAATTATATTTAATTTCTTATGGCAGTTCGGATTACAACTTTACAAGAAGAAGTGAAAAACATTAAAAACAATCTTGAAAGAGTAGAAGCAGAAAGAAAACAAGCACAGGATATGCTTAATCATTCAGAAAAGGTATGGTAAAATGATGTTGAGGCTAATGTCAGATTTTGATTATATTTTCAAATAGTATTTATTGATGATGCTAAGTCCTGTGTTCTAAATCAGTCTGGTGTTAAAATGATTAAATAGTGCTAATTTACAAGCTCATCAGGATGGTAAGTCTCACAGGTCCTTAGGTAGTTCTTACTTGTAGCTTTGGGCGTAAAATTCATGTTGGTCGTTCACTATGCCTGCTTCAAGGATCCAGCCCTTCTGCTGGTAGCAGGTAATTTTTGTTCTGCCTACCTGTCGCTGCAGAGACTTGTCTCCTGAAAATCTATGAATTTAACTTTTTAAAAACCTAGAATTTAAATTTCTGCTTTTACTGGATTTTAATTTGACTGGATGAGTGCCAGACCTCTTGATCAACTTTGGAGCTGAACAGTTTCAGGTTTTTTCCTTTCTTCCAGAAGAGTGGTAGCAGCATGTTCCCCTAATATCTCTGATCCCCTCCCCAAAACGGAGAAGCAAGTAAAGAAGAGTAAAAGGAAATCCCGCATCCTTTTTCTATATAGGCTGTAAAGTTCGTTCTGTGTTTTGAGGTCAGGTAAAGACTTGCTGTGCTGTGTGTGGTCTGTCCAAATAAACGAGAGAGATACGACTACCTATGAGGGAAGGTGTAAGCAGTCACCCTTCTCATTTGGTGTTAGGTGAAGCAGCCATCCAAAGGCAAGTCCCAGTCTCTCGAAGCTTGTTTCCTCAGTTACTGTTAATGGTTGGCAGCCCCAGCAGTGAAATAACAGAATTGCATCTGGGTAACGATAACTCAAATCCCTCTGTGCTCTGGTGTTCTCAGGGGATTGTTGTATGATTGGAATCTAGGTCACTACTAATTATTCAAACTAAGAAGTTTCCGTTATTTTATGAATTCATAGACTACTGAAAAAAAGTTTAATGAAGTTTTCTCCAGAGCGCTGAGTGCAGTTTTTGTCTTTCCATGCTTAATGAAGAATGGTAACAATAACATTGATAATTTTTTACATAACAAAAAGGTAACACTAAAAAAAGGAAAGAAAGGAAATGTGATTCCCTCAGGTATTATAGAAATCAGTAACTTCTTTTCTTATCTTTAGGAAAAGAATAATTTAGAGATAGATTTGAACTACAAACTGAAATCATTACAAGACCGGTTAGAACAGGAAGTCAATGAACACAAAGTCACTAAAGCTCGGTTAACTGACAAACATCAGTCAATAGAGGAGGCAAGATCAGTTGCAATGTGTGGTAAGTGTTTCTTGCAAGTTTCAGGTAAATACATAATAAACAGTGTTTTGCTTACGATATCTTAAAACACGTCATCTTATAATGCAATACTTTTATACAAGTGTTTATGCAAGGGAAGCGTTTAAATGTGTATGAAAATCTTAAAACAGAAAACTACATGTAAAACTAAATTATTTTCTCTAACATGGTACTTGTACCATAAAAACTGCGTTGTTTCTTAATGTTTTGAATATCTTGCTGCCTTTGCAATTCAAAGCCTTCCTTGGCTGCTGAAATGCTATTGAGTCTTGAAATTCTGGCTAATGCTAAACCGAACTGAAAGAATGAATTACCAAGACAGATGTCTTGGCGCATTCATTCCTGTGTAACTGCATTGAAAATATCTGTGTTGTATTAGGCCTGTCTGAAGTGGTGAAGTTTTTTATAGATACATAGCCATGAATCAAACATGCGTCTTGATATCTTGATTGAATACATCAGGTTTTCTTTGTGAAGGTCATCAGTACCTGGATGTGTAGCTTGTAGCTTTTCAGAAAGCTAACACAAATGACAGCATTTCTTTTCCTTTGCTCTACTATCCTTTCATGGACATTAAACTTTGCTTTTATTTTATAATGATTACTTCAAGAATCTGCATTTTTTTATTTCTTTGACTATTTATCTTCCAGTTGTCATGATAATATTCCAGTGCTTTCAATGCAAATTGGAATTATATTTAGTTTTTAGTGTTTCTTGTAATAATGCCAGGAAGTTTTTACTCATTATCAGTCCATCTAGCAGCAGAAGAGCTTAAATAGCTGAACAAAAGGGTCTGAAAAATATTAGGATATTTAAGACTGTGTTTACAAAAGCATTTTCATGGATGCTACATACTCACTTTTCTTGTTTTTCTTTCCTTAATCTTGTTTAGAAATGGAAAAAAAAGTAAAGGAAGAAAGGGCAGCAAGAGAAAAAGCAGAAAATCGAATAGTTCAAGCTGAAAAACAGTGTTCCATGCTGGACTTTGACCTGAAGCAATCTCAGCAGAAACTGGAACACCTTCTTGAGCAAAAGGAGAGACTGGAAGATGAAGTAAGTAAAATGCTCATCACTAACAATTTTCTATATAAATAAGAAATTATAGTCCACTGAGAAACAGAAAATTAAATTCACTTACACTGAGCTCCTTGTATAATAGACCCTCAGTAGAACTGAAGACAGCTGTTGGCCTAAATAGTGTTAGGTAATTTCCGCTTGTTCCTTAGCTCTTGGATGCCTTACATATTTGGGCCCTCAGTTTAATATAATGCACTTTTTTGTGTTTCCTTTTCTTTTTTTTTTTAAAAGGAAAAACTTGCTTGTGAATTTGACTGTGGAGTCTGATTGGTTTGGATGATTTGCAGTTCTGACTGTGCATTCTCCAGAAAAGCATTTTTTCATGGAAATGCAATGAGAATATTGAATGTGAAAACTGTGTACTAAGAATAAGAATTTCACCCTTACTTTTTTTTTTACAAGACACTGGGAATGAAGGTGATAACACCTTTCTTAGGGGTCACTACTTGTGTAAATTAGTTTTTATATAGCTGGTAGGCTGCAGGTTTTTTCTAGGGTGAGAAGTTTTTAAGATTGAAATACACAGAGAGGTTTGCAGGACCTTTCAGCAGACAATTTGGGTTTCTTCCATTGTTGCCTTTAAGATAAGATAAAACACATTTGGGACTTTGAAATAAGCTAAGTATGGGGAAACTTTATCATCAAGCAGAGGTATATCAGTGCATTCTGTAAGGGCAACAGCTTTCTGTAAGATTATTGCACTGAAGTGTTTGGAGATTTGGGAATATTTTTGATTGTTGTACAATGTGTGACATCTGAGCAATGGTGTTTGACATAAAATAATCCATATATGAAACACTTTCAAGCACATGCAACTGGTTATTCAGCAAATGCGCCTATTGAAATATTTCTCATTTAGGTAAAGAATCTAACACTTCAGCTAGAGCAAGAGACGAATAAACGAATAATGGCACAGAAGGAATTGAAGGCGCAAGCTTTTGAAGCAGATAACTTGAAGGGTTCCGAGAAGCAGCTGAAACAGGAAATCAATACGTTGTTGGAAGCAAAGAGATTACTGGAATTCGAGTTGGCTCAACTTGCTAAGTAAGTAAAAAACTGAAGTAAAATGGAAAAAGTTGCTTAATTATACGTGTATGGTTTTGTCTGTTCCTATTAGTGAAAAAAGTTCCCCAGTGCATAGACATTTTTTCCTAAACTAAAAGAATATTTTTAGCTGCGTGTTATGATTTCTGTATGTAGGCTTCAGTGTTGGAATATTTTTGTTATGAGCTATGATGCAGAACAATTCTTGGCTCACCATTCTATGTCAAGGCATATATATATATATGCCACTTATATTTGAGTGACTTCTTTATGGATTGAGTGTGGTACTACTTGTTAAATCACGTGGGACTTTTAGTTTTACTACATGTGAGTCAATAGCTTTTTTCCCCCCTTTAACTTGCTGATTCTTTTTCTAAACATTTCTTAAGCTGACTGAAGATATTTTTCATTAATTAGGCTTATATCATATCTGCCTTCAGCTGACTTAACATTTCTCCATGGTACTTCTTGTCTACTGAACTACATACTGAAACAATCACCAGGGTAGAATAAGGAATGCGATTAAATGAGAATTTTAGGATACAGCAAACTGTTGGTCTTTGAAATAACATGTGTGCAAATGTAAGATCTTCATAGGATGCTGTTCTGGTTAGAAATAGTCTGTCCTTGTCATTTGTTAGGAGCTGACTTTTTACATGTTTCCCTTTTTTATTTCTTCAAAGACAGTACAGAGGAAATGAAGGTCAAATGCGTGAGCTTCAGGATCAACTTGAAGCTGAGCAGTATTTTTCGGTAAGACTTGCAAAGAATTGAGTGTGCCACATTTTGATGCGAAGGCATTGAACAGTGAATAGTTTGACATATTAAAATTTTTAAAATGTAAATAACAACCTGGCATAAATCAGCAGTTCACAAAATCCTGCTTGAAATAAAACAATGAACAAAAAATTAGAGAACATTAGATGGTCCCTGTAGTATGTTGTTTTGTAGTTGTATGTTGAATCTTATATATTACATTGAGCAACTCTTACCTGAATTATTCGTCAGAGTAGTTACTATCTTGAGGTTGGAAAAGAGATATTTTTCTGACATAACTGCAGACTTTGTAGAGAGTTAAACTCTCCATACTTACTGGAATATATTCCATGCTATTGATCTACCATAAGTATATTTAAGAACCATAGATCCAGGAGTCTTCTGGACATACAGGAATATCTTCTACATCATCCTTCTAAATGACACTCTCCACCTGAGTGCAGAGCCTTATTCGGTACTCCAGGTAGCCAAAAAGCCTATTTCATAGGTGTATTTTGATCTGTTTCTGTGAAAAGAAACAATGGCATGAGACGCTGTATAATGTCGGAATTTCAAATACATTTGTGAATATGGGCAGTTTCATTTCGTTTTGGGAAGTACTTTGTGGTTCTTCCTTGGAGTGGCAATAATAATTTTTGTTTACTAAACTGCACGTGATTGAAATTTCATTATGTGTTACAGACTTCTGTGCATTTCTCCATAACGTACTGCTAATAAAAAGTTGCAGCGTTGTGTTTCATTCTCGGTTTTCTCTTTTTTCATACAGTGTTGTGTTTCATTCTCGGTTTTCTCTTTTTTCACTAGCATGTCGCTTAAATGAGACATTCATAATTCAGTCTGAATATTTAGCAAAAGTACTTTACCGTAGATCGAATTTTAACTTTTAGAATTACTAATGGTGTTAATAACAATATAGTAATGAAGAACAGGTCATTCACGTGAATCAGACCTGTTGAATCAGTTATTAAGACAAAATCAGTGTTAGAGACAGTCTGAGAGAAGATACATGGATACAAAGAGAATACAACAGGTGGAAGCGTAGGACAGTGTTAGGCTTGTTGGACTAACATTTTGAGACAGCGATGCTACAGGAGGATGCAGTTTTGTCCTGTTGTCTCCAAGAGACCTGCTCAGCTCTGCCCTAGTGCCTTTTTTCCCTTTTGTCAGTAGGTGCATTTGTGCAACTATGTAGGAAACCAAACGAGAAAATTGAAAACGAACCTGCTCACATCAG